AAATCTGGCAACCAGCATGTCTTTATGATAGTTGCAATCTCCCAGGATCACATGAAGGTCACAACGGAGAATTGCGTTCATTTAATGACCACACAATTCACTTAACAATCACAACGGTTCACTTAACGACCCTGGCAGAAAAGGTTGCAAAACCAGGCGTGAGTCAAGCTAAATAATGGCATCACTTAGTGCTGGAAGATTTGGTTCCAACTCTGCTTGTAAGTCAAGATCTACATGTATCTGCTTTCCCATTCCTTATTGTTCTGACCCAGCTCCCCAAACACGACAAACCCTCGGAGGTGAACTCAAAAGATTCCTTTATTAAGGAACGCCAGCAGCCCCAGCAAAATATTTATCTCGCAGGCTAACAAGATAAATAGTTGTCTGCCACCCCTGCCTTTTATCTCCAGAGCTAGGGTGGGACCTCGTTAGCAGCAGTGGCTCTTCTTTCCCAAGGACCGGCCCATAGATTTCCACTGCTCTCCTCTCCTCTGCTTTCTGCGCATCTGCACATCAGGCACTGGACCCAGCTGTTCCTTCTCTTCCTCATCAGCTACCTCCAAACCTGCGAGCTGTTGACTCTCCATCTGAGGACTGATGGATGGCCCAGGCTCCGCCTCTGTCTCTCTCTCTCTCTCTCTCTGCCCGCTCCATTCCCTCTTCCCCCCTCAGAGCTCTCAGGTTGCCCTGATGCTGATCCTGACTCCCGTGCGGCCTCCTCCTCATCCTCCTGATTCAGCTGCTGGAGGGGCCGGCGGCCAACAGTCTATAACACTTATTCAGCCTTCTTGCAAGCTCTTACATCTGTTCAGAAAGGTTAGCCTGTTCTGACCCAGACGGGTTCTCAGAGAGCAAACACCGATAAACTTAGTAACTCAAACTTTCATGGCTTTAACCTACAAATAGACCTTTTTCTAGATAACAAATAGCTTGCAGCCAATTAGTCCAATTAGAAAAACCTTGGAAGAAGTCTTCAAATAAACCAGAGTCTTTAATCACAAAGCTGAGTCCTTCGAATGTTTTTGCCTTTTGCAAAGGCAAAAACGGTTTGAAACCAGGCTTATATTCCCTGGAGGGAGGGACCATTACATTGCATCCTTACTCCTGAGTCATCTGTGCAGCTTCAGCTGTTCTCTTCTATGACTCATCCTGCGCTCACGCGCACTTGGCACAGGCTCCTCGGGAACCTCCTCATCACTGCTGCCAGCCCCCACCATCCCCAAAGGCAGCAGTCCACTCCCTGATGGTCCCGGCCCCTCCTCCAAGTCCTCGCTCTCCTCCACTGTCCGCACCTGCTGCCAGCTAACCACAACATAGCCCTTGAAGATTTGCAGTGGCTAATCTGATCCCACCCAATTTGCATGACGTATACACGGGCAGGCTTCAATTCTCAGAACAATCAATCATGTTCACACTTGATTGGAAATTCTAGACCATCCATTGAGAGGATACACAAAGCCAATACTTACTGTGGTCTGAAGACTCAACGCCCACCTGAGCTTGATCTAATTCTTCAAGAGATAGAAAGGTAGCCATACGACGGATGGAAACTTTTGCCTAGAACAAAAGACACGTTGACACCATACAGTTAAGGAAAGGTTTGGAGTGATTCCCCATAGTGATCAATATGGAACCCCCCCAAGGGTCAATGAGACCATCAAAGTGGTCAATAAAAAGCTGGAGGTCAAAAGGGAGCCAGTAAATGTCTAGGAGGTCAGTCGGTGGTCTACACCCGATACAAAGGATAAAAGGTCAACTGGGGTCAATTAAGTTCTTAGGGTTTCTGGAGAGCTCCAACCCAGTCTGTAGACC